TCAGGCTCAGGTTTCATGAAACCTGGCTGTTTTCTTCAGCTTTTATTATTAGGGAAGGCTTTATGAAAAGTAAATTTTCTATGCTCATCAAGAGGAAATCCAGAAGGGGTAACTTAAACTACTCCAAAGGAACAGAAACCAGAAAAAACCTAATGATCCTCCTAGCTACTAGAGAGGTGTCATTAATTTAAAGAACAGAGACAAAACAGAGTAAAGTACCCTGAGATAGGCTAACACCTAGAAGCAGGTCATGTCCAGGGCGAGGGGAGTTTTCCAACTGCAAGGCTGGATGCTGATCTCCTAAATTACCCTGTCCGGTATCAGCACAGACTTTTTTTAATGTCTGTATCCTCCCAAGAGGATGCAGGCACAAATACCTGCCACATGAATATATGACAGGTACAGCAGAGTCTTTTGAGCATCTCTGACCAGAAACAAACAATGTGACCAGCCTGCCTTTTATGGACTAATTATGGACTACTGGAGATTAGCAGCAGGAAGGAAGTACTAGGAAAGGGCTGGGACAGAACCAACCAAGCATGCCCACATCATCATGAGCTCTGTTGTTCTGACCACAGCCACCAACTAAGGGCTCTCTATTCAACCATGGCCTTTTAATGCCCCTCACCAAGTCATCTCAGTGCTGATTTGGCAATAAACCTACTTTATTTATCCTGGGCTAGTTTTCTGCTGGGTTAGCCTGCTGGAAAGGCTCAGCTAAGGGCCACCACCAGGCCAGAGCCCAGGCAGGAAGCACCAATGAGGGCAGGAGTGGCCAAAAGTCATGGACAAGGTATATCTGACCCTGCACAGCTCCATCAGCACAGGCAGGTGTGCAGCACAAGCCTACCTCACCTTGACAGGCACCAAAGAAACATCAGCTGCTGAGTCCTTCTGCAACTCACCCTCTCCCAGCCTAGCACTTCTCTGCTGTTGAGCAGCTGGGGAAGCCAGCAGCCCTCTGCCCTCATGCCCCGCTGGAGCCAGAGCTCCTGAGCATCCTGCATGTCAAGCATCCCACCCGCATCATCATCCCGAGCACCATGACCCTGTCATCCCAGGTGCTGTGCCAGTCCACCTCAGGCACCCAACCTTGGCAAGCCAGCCAGCCTGGCATGTGGCCTGGTATTCCCACAACACTTCAACAAAGCGGACTGCACACAGACCCTGAGATATGGGAGTTCTGAAGGCAGTTCAGCCACAGCCAGGTGTGCAAGCCCTGCTCTGCTGGCACCTGAAGCTGATGCTGCCAGCCAAGCATCTGATCAGGTCCCCTCACCCCTGCAAGCAGCACTGCATGTCCCATCCCTGCTACTCTCCAAGTTGCTTGACACAAGGGTTCAGTCTCAGTCAGCTGTGGGTGCAGGACCTTGAACAAGTACTAAATAAATGAACAAGTAATTTACTGCAAGGCCAAACACGCCCCCTGCCAAAGAGGTCACATACCACGCTCTGGCCTGATGCTTCTCCGAGTTTGTGAGTGTAAATTCCCATATCCAGGGGTCCGATGATTACAGCAATACATCTGGGCTAGGATTACTCACACTGAAGCTAGGATTACGCTCTGCTGAAGAAGTGAGGAAAACAACTGCTTTTGTGCTTTCATTGCATGACCTCTAAAGCTCAGTTTGGGTTTCTTGGTTCACACAAACCAAAACACTCAAATCAGGGAGTTTTCACTTTAACTCCCAGCTAGAGGACCAGGGTCTGTCCCACCAAGGTCCTTTTGCGTTATTTTCGCAGTAAGGAGATGTGTAAGGAAAACCCCTTTGAGGCAAGGCCTGTAACAAAGTGGTCAGAAGCAAACAGCCTACGTGGTTCATTCCAGCCTTGAGAGCTCCTCCAACCAGCACAGCGGTGGAAGGCAGATGTGCCCAAGATCTTTGCTCCCCATCTTTCATCACACCACCCAGGATTGTTCAGAGGCTTTCTAAGAGTGTGTTTTCATGACATGGATGCTTTCAACACACCACAGCCCACAAGGACCAGGCAAATACCAGTCCTGTGAAAACAGCCTGAGCTTTGTTTTTAGGGTAAGTCTCAGAGCCAGTCAAAATGCACCTGGCAAGCCCTGCTCCACCATTCTGAATACTTCACTCCCATCAAGTTAAAACAAGACTTGAAAGAAACCCGAATCTTCCACACTTAAATCACGCAGGCAACTCCAAGTGCTTGGATGTGCCCATCCCCATGAGTAAGAGCTGCACAATCAGACCCAGCTTTTCCTTACCATCCTGCCAAAGACACAGACACAAAGAAGAGAAAAACCCCACTGACTGATGATCCTGCTATTTCTGCTGTCCATGACAGCAAACTGGTAACAGGCCTGACTCAGAAGCCTCCCTTGAAAAACCTGAATCATTACAATTTAGAAGAGAGTCTCATATAATGAAGTCTACACTCCTCCCTCTCTTTAGAATAGAGAATTTGAGTCAGACTGACGGGGGGATAAAGAAGGGGGAAAAAAAAAATAAACCAAACTTTACACTTTGTTCAACGCTTTCTGTGCGGGTGGCAGTCGGGTAGCTGGAGGTTGGCAGCTGGATCTGGGGTCTGCAGGGCTGTGTTTGGTCTCAGTTACACCTTTCAGTTACCAGTGTGACCTCCTCAATGCCAGAGCATAACCAGACTTACTCTGCCAGCAAGCGAGAAAGGAGCACCCCAGCTGTATGATCACTGCCCAGACAAACAGCGTGAACTCGGATTTCTTCTTAGCACCATATCTATTTCCAAAAGCTTGACCCTTGTGGAATACAGAGATCATTGGAATGAGCATCACAGAACACTATAGTGTTTTAACTCTTTGTTATTACACATAATTTAGCATCAGGAGATCTCAAACTCACTTGACAAAGTAGCCTTATTTTTGAGACCCAACCAAACGAGACATGGAGAGATTTGATTAAGGCCCTCATAAAAGCAGGGGGATCTACCAGAGCAGAAACCCAGAGCTCATGCCCTGTCTCCTAGAGTTGTATGCTCCAGATGGCTTATCAATTAAACTGCTGTGGTACCTGCCTCTCCAGAAGGGCTCTTGGCTGTTTCCTGTGGAGACGTGCCAGTACACACACCTCACAAGAAGGCTCTGGCACCCAACACACAGGTCTGCAGTGATCCTCCAGATGCAGGCCATGGCTGAAAGAGTGCCTGAGGGGAAGGGGACTGATGAATAAAAACTGCAGCACTCAAGCATGCATCATGCAAAGAGGTGATTCAAGTCTAGGTTTCTGAGCTGGATCACGCCTCGACACCAAGGCTCTCCAGGAGCAGCAGTCATTGCAGCACCCTGGGGAAGCCTGTGACACGCTGCCTCTGTCCCTCTGGCATCAAGGATGGTGGGAGCTGCATATGCCACGTGCACTCCAAACAGCTCACAGTGAAAACCACCCCAGAGCCTCCTGCCAGGGCAGTGGAAAGAGAGATACCAGTCGACACAAAAGCACCACAGTCTTGTCAAAAGTCTATGTTGTGGATCCTAAACACTGTTTTTATGTCGGAAAAATACTGAAACAGAAATACACCTTTCCACCTCCTGAGCACAACACAAATGCTGGAGAGCATCAGGCTGTATCCAAGGCTTCCCTGAGAGCTTACTCACTTTGGGCCTGTGCAATGCCAGCAGATGCAGTGGATGTCGCAGAAAATTTCCCCTGTGACATGATTCTCCTCCATGTTGCTCCGATCTCTGTGCAGAAAATGCCATTCCTCACCTCTCAGATTAACTCTGAGCAAACTCTGATCACAACGTGAGACAGGCTCCCAAACTGAAGTAAAGCAGCCAGAGTCCTGACACAACACTGTTGCACCAGCTGGGTAACACTTTGGCAGCTCAGGTAGAGTACAAATGCACCTGTGGCGCCAGCCTTTACAGCAGACGGAGCTCTTTCTGCATAGGCAGGGACCCCAAAACATAGGGTGGGAAGGAACACTGCACTTAAGAGAGAGGAGTGCACTCTGTGCACTTTCAAAATAAGTGTGAAAATCACCCTTGCCACATCATCTATTAATATTCTGCGTGGTAAAGGCAGCAGCATGCAACCAGTCTGCTCAGCTGGACACGGATCATCTTCCCAATGACAAGAATGGGGAAGAGAGCACTGGTCTGGCCCCAGCACCACAGCCCTTCTCACCGGCAGCCTTTGAAGTTTAGGCAAAGGAAGGATGGATATGGTGTCACACATCTGCATCTTCCGTGCTGGCAGACTTGAATATACCTCAGTACATACATAAAGTCCTGTTTACTTACAACGATGTTCATGTTTTTCCTGGCCTTATTTCCTCGAAGCAATCCACATTTGCAAGAAAAAGCATAAGTTTTAGAAGACATGTGTAAAAAAAGAAAAAAAAAAAAAAAAAAGACAATTTGATTAAATTGAGGGCATAAAAGCCCCGAATCTTAAAAACACATCCCAACATAGTTATACTCCACAAGAAACACTGCGTTCAAGCCGTAGCTGGTGTTTGTGCTCTTCTCTGAACATAAGAGCATTCCTTACACCATGCTGGACACCGTGAAACCCTTCAGACACATCTATTTATTTAAAAAGCAAATTCGAGTCACGGAGACGTACGCTCTTCTTTTCTTAAAGGCAAATAAGCCTTGCCTAAATTCTGCTTACATTCACGGCTCCGCAAAGCAACAACGCAAACCGCTTCCGACCGCCCCCCGCGCAGCTGAAGCGCGGCGGGCAGGGGACCCCCGGACGGAGGGCACCATCGCAGCGCCGCGGCTCCGCAGAAGGGCTCCGGGCACGCCGTGCCTGCCGGGACCCCCGGGGGCGACGGGCCCCCCTCCGCCCCAACGCACGCCGAGCTCCGCCAAGTTTCGCGCCGCTCCCGCGGCCGCCTCCGGCGCGCAACGCCCCGGCTCGGGAGGGCCCCGGCGCGGAACCCGCGAGGGAGCCCCGGCCGCCGCAGCCGCCGCAGCCCCCGCAGCGCCGCCCTTCGCAGCCGGGCTCGGCCGGCCCAGCCGCTGCCCCCCGCCGCGGCCCCGCACTCACCGCCGCGGCCGGCCGCGCAGCTGGCCAGCAGCAGGGCCAGCGCGCACAGCGCGCACAGCGCGCAGCGCTGCCCTCGCAGCAGCTGCCCCTGCCGCCGCCGCGGCCGCCGCCGCTCCGCCGCCGTGCCTGGGGCGTCCATCGCGGCTGCTCCGCTCCGCTCCGACCGCTCCCCCCGCCGCGCCGAGCCCCGCCGGGCGCCGCAGCGCCGCCTCCGCCCGCCCACCGCGGCCGGCACGGGGCGGGGGCCGCACGGCGACGGCGGGGTTGGTGGGGCTTGGCGCTTCCTCGGCCAGCACACGGAGCGTGCACGACGCCGGCAGAGTGCCCGCTGCCAGCTGTCTGCAGGTCCCTGGGCGGGGAGGGGGCTGGCTGGGCATCGTCTTCGCTGGGCGTCGTTCCATCGTACCCATCACGCCTCCCGCCTGGGGCGCTCGGGACCTCTCGGCATCATCGCCTGGGCTACGGCTTGTACCGCCTAGGCAGTGTTGGACACCAGAAAAGCCCCAGCACACCACTGACCCCTCACCAGTGATCCCGGGGACGGCGGGAGGCAGCCCTCGCTGCCACCCCTGTGCCTCTCAGACAACCAGGAGGTTTCTCATTGTGGGTGGCTGGGGATTTATCCCCCTTTCTCACACTGTGCCCTGAACTTTTTGCCGGGTGAGCAGCCACCTGCCCCTTCTGCCCTTTGGCCCCGTCCTGTATGAGTCCTCTGGCTTCCCATCACTCTGCTGGGCACCCTGGCACCCTGGCTCACACACCTCTGGGGAGCTGTGCCACCTGCTCGGGCACAGGACAGCCCATGCACAGCCACTCCAGTGCTCCTCTGTTGAGGCTGCTGTGCTCAAGAAACCTGGGCCAGCCAGAACCATTCTTCCCTCCTTTCCTGTAACGTCGTAATTGCTACTGGAACATTGGCACAAACACTTAGAGGCAGTGCTAAATCCAGAGTGATGTACACACATGACGGAACAGCTTCTCCTGCAGGGCCCACACACCATTATCCAGGAGGGACCCTGGAGTTTCATGAGGTATCTACCTTTTTGGCTGGAAAGCCACCTTCAGTTGAGATGAATAGGACAGAATGAATATCTCTGTTCCCAAGGTCCGACTGTTCCTCAAGAGCTGCCATGGTGCGCTGGACACAGACTGAAATGAAAGTAAACATCACTATCAGTAGTTTTGGTCAGTTACCAACCTTTCTCAATAAAGACAGTCTCATTCTGTGGGCAGCACCCACCGTCTCCTGAAAGGGTCCTGAAAGGGTTTCTGGCAGTTCTGAACTTGACCAGGATGTTGGTTTTCAACTCAGCTCTTACACATTTACTGCTTATGCTCCTACACACAACTTTAACAATGATGTTGTCTCTGTTGGCCTGGGATTGGCAGAGCCAGCTCCCACCCAGACAGTAAATGGAGTTGAGAACTGGCCTAGGATATAACTATAAAAGAAGCGTTCTGTTTTGGTTTGTGTTTTTTCTGAGTAGGATGCACCCCCTTCCCCCTGGCAAGGCAGGTTTTATCCCATGGTAAACATCTCTGAAACCTGTAGCATTGTCAAACACTACAGCAAGTCACTCCAGCTGAGGAAAGAGATTCCGATTGTCCCACTGCTGTCACTGATTGATGTCATGGGAAAGCAATGAATCCACTGTGGGGTGAGAGGGGCCTGGAGGTGAAAGCCCCTGTTGCTGACATGACAGAGCACTGTGACAATGCTCCCTAAATACTCCCTTTAAATTTCAATGTCCCTTTGAAGTCTATAACTTCTTGAAAATGTGACCCTGAGAGTCACTGCAAAATCATTACTCATGCCTCCATCATAAGCCTCCTCTGGTCCCATTGCAGAGCTGCTTGTAAATACCAGGTGAGAGCTCACTGTCTTGAGAATGGAGACTGGGACTATCTGGGAAGCCTGTGAACCTCAGGAACTAATTTCCCACTCAGAATCACTAGGTAAGTTAGTGAATGCCTTACTAGTGCAGTGAGTACTAGCTCCTGAAGCATGTGCATTTCTGGGGAGCATAAGAGAGGAGAATTCCCTCTTCTCTCCCACCAATAAACTGGTGTGTGGGTGGAACAGGCTTTGAAAGGCTCCGTCTGCTGGAAGAAACAGAAGGAAGGGAATCGTGTTGAAACTGTTGCTCTTCTGAAAGAAACACTCTATCTTCTACAGTAGTCTTCTGCACAAAAAAAAAAAAACAAACCAAAAACCCAAAAAAACCCCAAACCTGCTAAAGACCAGACATAGCTAGCATTACAGGGTTTGCTTTGTGGCACCTCTGCCACTGTCTGCCACAGTTGCTGCCACGCAGAGCTTTCTCTGTGGAGGGTCATGAAGGCTCTGGAGGAGGTGCCCTTGCTCTGCGAGGTCCCTTGGAAGGTTCCCACAGAGCTGGCTCTCAGAGGAGCAGAAAGATGCATTTTTGTTCTTTCCACAGTGCAAAACCACATAAAGCACTGGGAGAAAACTGTGTAAATCACAGGATACAGATGTGCAGAGATGACAGGCAGATATGCCTTAGCAGAGCTGAGGTGCAGTCGTGACTATTGCAAGGAGAGCAAACAGCCCTTGCGTACTTGGCATTTTCCCCCGCAAGCCACGCCAAGTTCTGTGCTTCAGACCAAACAGAGATTTTTTTTATTCTGTTTGGACTGCAGATTATGCTCACAAAGAACTTTCAGCTCTGGAGAAAAAATTTGGGATTCAAGTAGAGCACAATCGATGCACATTGGCCAGGCAGAATCCAGCTGCCAGTGAAGGTGATCCCCAGCTGGCTGACAGCACTCCAAGCCAGTTTGACAGGTTAAAGGAGCTGCACTTCAGAGTGGTCCTGGAACCTTGGCCAAACATGAACAGGGGCACCATGAGGCTGGGTCTGGTCAGTGCTGCCCAGCAGAGAGCATCTGCGTGGCAGAATCACCAAGTCTCACTGCTGCTGCATTCCACACACAGAGAACTGCTGCGGAGGTCCACCTGCAGCACTCCAGCTGGATCTCAGAGGACAGCAGGAGGGTTCCCTGCCTTGGGTTCCAGTCCCGGGCCCTACCTTTGCAGCACAGCTCCTGTACCCTCCCTGCCAGTGTCTGCCTACACAGAAAGTTGCACCTTCACTTCAGGCATGTGCTGCTGGATGTGTTAGTTGCTTGTTCCTCCTCTCTGAGCGGTTCAGTGCCAGGGCTGTGGCCGAGCACAGCTCTAGTTCCAGGTTAAAAGCAGCAGTGAGGGTGGCTTGGCATGGTTGCCTCTCCTGTGAGGTAAGAGGGGCTGGCTCAAACCAGGTGTTTAACCTACAAACCTTAGACACACACAGCCATCCTCTGCAAGCCACAGAGAGGATAAACACACACTGCTGATTGCCACTGCTCTCTCCTCCCTGCCTGCTCAGTGAGCAGAAAGCCCAAGTGCCCTGCTCCCTCGTAAATCTACCCATCTGAATGAACTGGTTACAGCAAATCCAGCCAGCCATGCCCTGAAGGAGGCCAGGGACCGTGTGTACACCGGAATGTCATTGCTGGCTGGTGGCCAGCAGCTGAAGGAGCGATGCTTTTGGTCAGCTCCTGGCAGTGCCTCATGCAGTGATGACAAACATCCTCCTCTCAGTCATGTACCCATACTCCAGGTTCAGAGTGCTTCAAAAGGCTGCCCAGTTGATGCGATTTTAATGTAAAAATAGTTGACAGGAGTTTAGGCTACGCCTGTTCCCATTTAATTTAAGAACATTTAAATAAGTTTGCATCTGCTTAGATAAAACAACTTAAGGTCACAGCCTTGGATAAAGCTGGGTGTCCTCCTGAAGGCTGGCAGGTCTTTCCTCTCTCTGAAAAGCTTGAAGAAAAGTGTTTGTACTTACCGGCTTTGTGGTGAGGTCAGGGTTTCAGGGAGGTCTATTGTATGGGAGAGAGCAGAGGGGACACACATTCCATGTTTCAGCTCTCTGGGAAAACAAACTGGGATGGGGCAGAGCTGGTTTCTGGCTCTCCTTCTGCCAGAGGGTTTTGGGGTCTTTGGCGGTTAAAGGAAAGCAGCAGCACCCAGCTTCCTCACTCCTTTTCTGGTCTGTACACTTTTCTAGACAGATTTTTCTAAAGCTTTCCACATCCTCTCTTCTTGACTCACAGCTAAATACACACATGAGCAAACAGACTAAAGAAGCTGTATACATTGTATTTGTATGTGTATTTGTCCCTTTTTGAGGCTTGGAGGTATTTTCTCCTGCTGCCCTCTTTTAGGATGCTGCTTTCTCTTACTGAGGCCAGTGGTGTGGGAGCCAGAGAGGCAGGATGGAGCAGGACAGCCCTCCCCTGTTGGAGCTGCTTGTCCTGGCAATTAACCCTCTGCTACTGCTGAATCTTTGGGAATATCTTGTGTTTCAGTGGTGAGGAGACACAATTACCAAATTGAGTATGTAGTGCATAAAAGCCAGCTAGGGTTCTTTCTGGATGAAAGGGGCAATAAAAATGCTGATATTTATAGAAAAATATTTATTACTTCATGGGATATCAGGGCTTCCTGTGATTTGAGGCTGTGCCTTGCATAGCTCATTGCTGAATGCCTCAGGATGGCACTTTCCATTTTTTCTTTCAGCAGCAGCCTGTTTGCTCTCAAATCAATGATCAGGTTTACAAACAGTGATTCTGTGTCCCCTTATAGGCCACCCTCTGGTGCTGCCTTCCCCTTCTGCAGGCATAGGGCGGGCTGGTGGTGTGTGTATCTGCGGGTGTCTGTGTGTCTGTGTGTCTGTGTGTCTGTGTGTCTGTGTGTCTGTGTATGTATGCGTGTGCATCCCACTTGGGAAAGTCTGGGGAGTAACAACTGCTCCAGAGGAAAGAGCAGCTCTTCTACCTGCCTGATGGCACTGGAAAAAAAGCAACCTTTAATAAAATTAAAGGGCATACAATTCCAAACAAATGCAAATGAAACCCTATTATATGCAGTGAAATTGCCCTGGAGGACCCTTTGCCACAAGCAAATATTTCTGAAGCCAAAAAAAAAAATTCAGAAATGCAGAAGAAGGATGGATAACTGTGTAAATACTGGAAAATAGCAGTGTCAGAATGAGTCCTAACATTGGTATATCCAGAGCTCACAGTTTACAGCTCGTAAAAGTCTGAGAAAACAAAAAAAGACCATGAAATCTAATATAAATCC